CTAAGATGGTAAGAATAAGCTTAGGGGATCTTTCATGCAGGTCCCCACATCTGTACCCTAGAGTTCAGAGTGGGGAAGGAACCATGACAGCACCCATGAAAAAACTGGTTGCAAAAACCCAAAACTTAAAAAACGAGAAAAGCTACTATCTTGTACCCATCACCATTTTAAATTAAGGCACCTCCTGACAGACGGGATATAAACTTTGGTTTGCAAATAAGAGAACTGGAGATTTCAGTGATTGTTGCCTTATAACTGGGTAAAATGTTACACAACATGACTCCTTATGTAATTTTTTCTCAACAGAAATATTATTTTAAAAGCTTATCAAAAATCCATTTGAAATAGTAATAATTAAAGTCTATACTAGGTCTTTATTTTGATATACACTATTTCTCCTACATACTATCATACACCAACCTCCTTTTGAGTGAGGTTTTACTTTAGAACTCCTTAATCCAAAGAGGGTAAATTACATCAAATAAACTTTACAGGATTAGTCACCTTTCATATACTACTTGGAGGGAGGCAGGAGACAGAAACATAAGAATGGCCATACTGGGTTAGACCAATGGTCCATTTAGCCCAGTATCCGGTCTTCTGACATTGGCCAATGCTAGATGCTTCAGGAGGAACGTACAGGTCAATTAGTGAGTGATCCATCCTGTGTCATTGACTCCTAGCATCTGGCAGTCAGAGGTTTAGCCATCTTGGCTAGTAGCCATTGATGGACCTATACTACATAAACTTAATCTAATTATTTTCTGAACCCAGAAGAAAACCCAGATAACTTTCAGTGTTGCAAATAAATTCATAATCAGTATAATCATAATCAGTCTCTTATTCTGCAATAAACATTTCTGTTTAATTTCATTTTCACTGGTAACAACATATTTGCAGGCTTCACAATTTTATCATGTATGTTGGTTTTCTCTTAATCACATTATTTGAGCATGAGCTTTCGTGAGCTACACGAAAGCTCATGCTCAAATAAATTGGTTAGTCTCTAAGGTGCCACAAGTACTCCTTTTCTTTTTGCGAATACAGACTAACACGGCTGTTCCTCTGAAACTGGTAACAACATATCTGAAGGCTACACAATTTTATCATCTGTGTTAGTTTTCTCTGAATCCCCTTTTCCACCAAGTAAGTCTTGTGTAAAGTTGTGTTCTGTACTAACATAGGTGCCTTCTATTTCTGGGAGCTCATTTCTCTCTGGGTCTTGGGTCATAAGTGTTGGTGGAAGTCATCTCAAATGTGTTCTCTTGAGAAACAACACTTGTATTCTATTTTCACAATTTCTGATCTTTCAAAGTTGCAGGAGATGGAAAAATTGGATATTAGGAAAAACTTTTTCTCTAGGGGGGGGGTGAAACATGGAGGGAGGTGGAGATCTCTCCTTAGAAGTTTTAAGGGGCAAAGTCCTGGCTGGGATGATTTAATTGGGGATTGGTCCTGTTTGAGAAGGGGTTGGATAAAAGACCCCCTGCCCTCCCCCCCCATTTTATTTAAAAAAAAAACATGGGAGCAAAACTGAGAGCCAGAACCATGGAATCAGGACTCAACAGTCATCAGTCCTGCAGTCTGAGCTTGGGAGTCTGACATTCATTCCCTTATTGGTTAACATCACTTGCACAGCAGGGAAGTGCTTCTTCTCCAACAAGACAGCCAGATAGGGATCCATGGGGAAGGGCTGTCCTCTGAAGGCATCAACTGTTTCTTTCTTTGGCTCATAAAACTTTGGATCCAAATGGTAAAGGACAACTCCCCAATATCTTACCACAACATCATTTGAACCATAATCTGCCACTGAACTAGGAGATAGTGTTCTAACATAAACAGCTTACCTGAGCCTAAAGTTACCCTAGTTTCCATCTCTGGGGTAAAAATTAACCACTGGGTGCCTATTATTTCTACTTAAAAACTAGTCTAATCCTTAGCCATGGTCAGGGTAACTTTACTTCTCTGGAGTAGAATCCTTTACCACATCACAGAAAATCTCAGTAGTCATAGAGTGAGGAATCACTTCCCCAACCAGGCATGCCCAGTTTATTTATTAATCTGGTGGCACAAATATTGGCCTGGTTCACAAGCCGTGTAAGTTACCAAAGGTGGAGTATCTATTAAAAATAGATCGACTGCTGCAGCTAGCTCACACTCACAATGGATTTTATTTTATACATATTTGCAGCATCTATAAGGTGTAAACTCAGCAAAAATACCACTTCCATTTTCTCCATCTCTACATAGGTAGGAACTGTGTTCTGAAATAATACACAATATGCACTTGATTACGAAAGAGAGCTCTTTAGAAGACACCTCCTGTTAGGTCTGGGCCACAACTGCCTTGTGACCCAAATACATGGGCATTTTGCTGAGTTCCAAGTCACTTACTGTGGAATATTGAATCCTCTAAGACAATATTGACCCAAACTATATGATCACATTGTTATTCAATTCCATTCCTTAGTTAGATGTAGAATTTTTAAAATGCTACTGTTTCTGTGGTAGCACATCCAATAGCTTTGAGTACTCATTCCTGACGACTGAACTGCTCTTGAACTTCCTCCATGTCATAATGGAGGAGTGGAAAAATAGACATACATGAAAAGAAATTATTGTTTTAGTAAATGGTCATTTGTCTCAAACTCCACCAAAAAACTGAACTTCACCCTATCATAAAGAAACTAAAGTCCAGTTATGTTATCAAATGCCCTCAGGAAAGAGAGAAACCCAAAACACACAAGAGAATAAGACAGTTTCAGTATCATATAAAATGAAACTCCAGAACATCTTACTCTCATGATGCCAAAATTAGAACAGATTTTCCTATTGTGCTGTCCTCTGATCCATTCAAACCTTCTTCACTCAGCACCACCTCATTACTATTCTGTCATGCTAGTTACAAAGGTTTTAGAATTATCATAATGGGGAATATCAGCCAACCTTCCCACCTGGAAACAATCCCAGCTCAGCTGGAAAAATCCTGAAAGCAACTTTGCCAATAGACAGAAACAAGGATTAAAGCACAGAAAGGTTAATCTGTTTGGGATCCTTTCAAATTCCCCCTGTAGGTCTGTGACACTCATTTCCAGCCCCAACGAGTCTGATTTAGGATCAGAGCATGATACCTAAGCACAGAGAGCTGAGAACACGGCTTCATGTGACACAAAAAAATAAAAGTTCTGAAGGTTTCCACAGCCTAGTCTGAGGGTTAAATGGACATGCTCTAATAGCTGGCCTCCTCAAACTGAAAAGGGCCTTGGCACCTGTCATAAATATAAAGGGAAGGGTAAACACCTTTAAATCCCTCCTGGCCAGAGGAAAAACCCTTTCACCTGTAAAGGGTTAAGAAGCTAAGTTAAACTCGTATTCACCTGACCAAAATGACCAATGAGGAGACAAGATACCTTCAAACCTGGGGGGGGGGGGGGGGCAAAGGGTCCCTCTGTCTGTTTTTTTTTTTTTTTTTTTTTTTGCGGGGACCAGAGCAGGAATGCAGAACTCCTGTAAAGGGCTAATAAGCAATCTAGTTAGATTCTGTTTTGTTTAAATGGCTGATAAAATAAGTTGTGCTGAATGGAACGTTTATTCCTGTTTTTGTGTCTTTTGGTAACTTAAGGTTTTGCCTAGAGGGATTCTCTATGTTTTGAATCTGATTACCCTGTAAGGTATTTACCATCCTGATTGTACAGAGGTGATTCTTTTACTTTTTCTTCAATTAAAATTCTTCTTTTAAGAACCTGATTGATTTTTCATTGTTCTTAAGATCCAAGGGTTTGGGTCTGTGTTCACCTGTGCAAATTGGTGAGGATTTTTATCAAGCCTTCCCCAGGAAAGGGGGTGTAGGTTTTGGGAGGATTTTGGAGGGAAAGACGTTTCCAAGTGGGCTCTTTCCCTGTTATATATTCGTTAGACTCTTGGTGGTGGCAGCAATAAAGTCCAGGGGCTAAAGGTAAAATAGTTTGTACCTTGGGGAAGTTTTAACCTAAGCTGGTAAAAATAAGCTTAGGGGGTTTTCATGCAGGTCCCCACATCTGTACCCTAGAGTTCAGAGTGGGGAAGGAACCTTGATATGGGATACAGATTGATCCCCGAATTGATGCCTGTACTCCACCTCGGCAGGAAAAGTAAGCAGAGTCAACGGGGGAGCCGCCGTTACACAAATAGCATAGAGCCGTGCCAGCTACACAAATAGCATAGCTGAAGTTGTGTATCTTAGTTCAACCCCCGCCCCTGCAGTGTAGCCCAGGCTGAAGAGTGATGGAGATCAGGTCATCACAAGGGGAAACCTAACCACAACCATTGCACCTGGGTTATGTCTGCCCTGAAAAGAGTTGTGTTTTTACATCAAGATAGCTAATTTGAGCAATTTAGGCGGTGTCTACATTAGAGACCTTATAGTGGCACAGCTGTACTGATGCAGCCGTGCTGGTGTAAGATCTCTTGTGTAGTTGCTCTATGCTGGTGGGAGAGAGCTCTCCCATTGACATAATTAAACCACCGCCAACGAGCGGCGGTAGCTATGTCGGTAGGAGAAACTCTACCATCGACATAGCGCTGTGCATGCTGCCAATTATGCTGGCAAAACTTTTGTTACTCAGGGGTGTGGGTTTTTTTCACATCCCTGAGCGACGTAAGTTTTGCTGACATAAGTGGTAGTGTAGACATGACCTAACTCAATGTACAGTTCTAGTGCAGATAAGGCACAGATAGTTTTTATCTCACTGTAGCTAGATGAGGTCAACCCTCTCTCTCCCAACTCGGACTGATGGACATTTCTGCCTGGAGGGACACACACTTCCATAACTCATAAGGCTAAGGAGTTGAAAAAAAGGATCACAGGATTCACCCCAAAGTAAGGTGAACTGCAAAAGGTAGAAGGCGGCAACTCACCTGAAGGGCGCTGAGAGACGACAGTAAAGGAAATGGTGCAATCAACCTTAAAAGACCAATATGTGGGAATTAGCGCATTAAAAAAACAACTCAAAACCAACCAAAAACCCCCACAACAAAACAGAAACAAAAAATCTTTGGGTAGCCCTACTGAATACAAATGTAGTGTTATTCTCCTGTGTTGATTCTCTGATGTGTGACAATCTGTGAGCTATAACTGAAGCCTTTATCGCACTGAGGGCATCTATAGGGTCTCTCTCCAGTGTGGATTCTCTGATGTATGATCAGCTCTGAGCTCCGAATGAAGCTTTTCCCACACTCACAGCAAGCGTAGGGTCTGTCTCCTGTGTGAATTCTCTGATGTATGATGAGCTCTGACCTCCGACTGAAGCTTTTCCCACACTCAGGGCAGCTATAGGGTGTCTTCCCTGTGTGGATTCTGTGATGTGTGGCAAGGTTTGATCTCTGATTGAAGCTTTTCCCACACTCATGGACATGTGTAGGGTTTCTCTCCCGTGTGGATTCTCTGATGTGTGATAAGGTTTGAGTGCCAGCTGAAGCCTTTTCCCACACTCAGGACATGTGTAGGGGGTCTCCCCTGTATGGCTTCTCTGATGTGTGATCATTTGGGAACTATCACTGAAGCTTTTCCCACACACAGGGCATGAGTAGGGTCTCTCTCCAGTGTGGATTCTCCGATGTGTGACAAGCTGTGAGCTATAAATGAAGCCTTTCCCACACTCAGGGCATCTGTAGGGTCTCTCTCCAGTGTGGACTCTCTGGTGCTTACTAAGCTCTGAGGCTCCGAGTGAAACTTTTCCTGCACTCTGGACACGTGTAAGGTCTCTCTCCTGTGTGGATTCTCTGATGTCTGATAAGCGCTGAGCTCCGACTGAAGCTTTTCCCACACTCAGGGCAAGTGTAGGGTTTCTCCTCCTGTGTGGATTCTCCGATGTGTGACAAGCTGTGAGCTATAAATGAAGTCTTTCCCCCACTCAGAGCTCTGTAGGGTTCTAGTGTGGATTTTGGTTTATTAAGCAATGAAGCTCTGAATGAAGCTCTTCCCACACTCAGGACACGTGTAGGGTTTCTCTCCCGTGTGGGTTCTCTGATGTGTGACAAGCTGTGAACTATGAGTGAAGCTTTTCCCACACTCAGGGCATGGGTAGGGTCTCTTCCCTGTGTGGATTCTCCGATGTGAGACAAGCTGTGAGTTGGAACTGAAGCTTTTCCCGCACTCAGGGCATGAGTAGGGTCTCTCTCCTGTGTGGATTCTCTGATGTGTGACAAGGTGTGAGCTAGAACTGAAGCCTTTCCCGCACTCAGGGCATGAGTAGGGTCTCTCTCCAGTGTGGATTCTCTGATGCGTGACAAGCTGTGAGCTATAAATGAAGTCTTTCCCACACTCAGTACATCTGTAGGGTCTCGCTCCAGTGTGGATTCTCTGGTGCTTATTAAGCTCTGAGCTCCGAATGAAGTTTTTCCCACACTCACAGCAAGTGTAGGGTCTTTCTCCTGTGTGGATTCTCCTATGGATCCTAAGCTCTGAGCTCCAACTGAAGCTTTTCCCACACTCATGGCAAGTGTAGGGTTTCTCCCCTGTGTGGATTCTCTGATGTGTGACAAGGTTTGAGCTGCGACTGAAGCTTTTCCCACACTCGGGGCACATGTATGGTCTCTCTCCAGTGTGGATTCTCCGATGTCTGATAAGGACTGAGTTATGTTTGAAGGTTTTCCCACACTCCAGGCAGATGTACGGTGTTCCTCCGGTGTTGATTCTCTCATGTCTAATAAGGTCTGAGCCTCTACTGAACTTTTCTTCTGCTCTGTGCTGACTCTCACAGGCATTTGCCTGCGCACAATTCGAGGAAACATTCCCTTTGGATCTTTCCGATAACGTCTCATGTGCTTCTACTTGCTCAGAATCGTCTTGTTGAGGATTCTCCTCCATTCTCATTCACCATCCCAACATCTGCTAGGATAGAGAGAAACCAGACATAAGTCACTTCCCTTTGCCAGAAAAAAGGGAACCTCAGAGAGAGGAAAGGAAGAAAGGGGGGACAAACAAAAGTAAGTGACAGAGACATCAAACAAAGAAAGAGCTGAATCTCCCCCAAGCTTTTCCCCACAGGAGAGAGAGGAGGGGATCAATTCTGGGTCTAAATCTCAACCAAACACACAGGGAGAACGTAGACTGGGGAGGGACCTACTGTCAGGCATGAGAGTCAGGACAGGTAGGAAGCCGTAAGTGAAGTCTGCCATGAGGATGCCACATCTCCTGAAAACAATCCTGAA